CCCGTTCGCGGGATTCGAACCTCGGATCGAACTACCAGTGTTCAGCGACTTTACCGCTCGGCCGCTGGTGGGCCATTTAAAGGGACGGTGGACTTTAAAAATTAGTTTTTTAAGTTTCTGTATTGTCAACAAGAAATTTTATACATATAATACATATAATAACATCAGTTTATAAAATATATGTTCAAAATTTCAATTTATTTTAAATTAAAAATTTTAAAAAATTAATTATTTTAATTAGAGATTCAAAATGCTCCTTGCGCGCTAATTTTCAATATTTGTTTCCTAATTTTTCCTTTTAGTTAGTTATAAAAACTTGACAAAAGTTTTTATGAATCCGTTATTGAATATGATGGATGAGATATTTTTAAAAAGGTTTTTTGCGAAATTAAACCCAGTTTTCGGAAAAATGTCATCTTTTGTTAAACATTATCACAAGTTTAGACTTCTTAAAACACTCATATCCAAAAATGCATACTTAGATCTACTGTAACATATAACAAGATAGTTTCTTCCAAATATGATTAATTTTAAACTAAAAATAAGACGCATGGACCATTTTCTCAAGACATTTAAATTGCGAAAATTTTGTTTTGAGAAAATTGAATTTAAAGATTTTCTTCAAACTTATCTTTAATACATGGTCATTAGAAACAGCAAATTAACTTTGAATATGTAAACACTAGATAAAAGTTTCGTATCATTTAACTAATTTTAATCCCATAATATTATATATGAGAAGAATAAACATATCGTAAGTTGATATGTGATTCGAAGTTATAGGTAGAAAAAATTTATGCATTATATTCAATGAAACTTTAAAGATTCACCCGTATCATATATTTTACCTTCATTTGTTACATTCACATTATTTTTTAATGCTTTAGAATATTTTTTACTATTTCTGTTTTTTTCCAAGCAGGTAAACTTTTCTTTTTGCTTTGGTTCAAGCGACGTTGATCCCGAGTAGGGAAAACGAGTTTGTTTTCTCCTTTTCTACGCGTATAGCATTTACATAATCAAAGTAAAATTCATTAATAATTGTCAATACTGACATTTCTAGCCTTTTTTTAAGAAATAAAACACTTTTTTGTGTCAAATATATAAATTTATAACATTATTAAATAACTGTTAAAATACATTTTTTTTTACATTTCCTCCAGAAATTTAAGGGCACTTCTTAAAGTTTACGTTGTTTACACATTTTAAATGCTTGTAACTTCTTTAAAAATTAGAATATTTGAATTCCTTTTTTTTTTCTATTTTTATACGATTTGGTTATGTATATGGAGAATATTACGTGTGTAAAAAAACAAATCCAATATTTTGGTTGATTTTTAGCCACTTTAATGTACACCGTCCCCATAAAGTACAGTTAATCATGACTGTATAATAGACACGTAAGCAAATATCAGTCATATCGGAATCATATCCCGTGTCATTTTTCTTAATATTTATAAAATCATTAATATTCTTAATATTTATAAAATCAAGCCTGTTAAAGGACTGTATTTTAAGCAGAATATTATTTTAATCAAATACATATTTCTAGTACACTAGTAACTTTTTTCAGTCGCGACCCCAGTACCCCATAATATTGTTACGAAATGTACAGGCGATGGCTTCCCCGCAAAGCAGTTTTAGGGTTGACATAAAATGGCAAGGTATGGCAGGGTTGCCACATTTGGCCAGGAATCGCCCAATTGGCGACAAAATTGGCGATATTCCATGGACGGATGGAGAACCTTCTGGAACGAATTCTTACCGGTTTAGTCCAGATTGTTCTCGAACACCAGCCAAAAGGTATATAAACCCTGCTGGCCCGCAGTCAGTGTGTGCGCCTCGAGAGTGCGAGATATAGTTAGCGTCTCGAGTCGATCGAGTTGACAGCCGGGAAGCGAGTGCCGAGTGGGTCGTCGAGTTCACCGAAGGAGTTTCTTACGTGCTATTTATTACACGTCGGTTTGTTTCGAAAGAACAACTGTTTGGAACAATTTTTCTGCTTTGTCACAACAGCCAATCACCAGAGCTCGCTTTGGGATTAACACAGGGAAAACTGGTTGTCCTTTACAAACATGCAAACAGCATTCGGCGCTGATAGCTGATTGGTTGAAAACGAACAATTTGCAGTTTTTTTCGAAAGGAAGGAAAAAGTCGCACGTCTTTCTTTCAATAGTAAACAAGGCAGAAAAATTGTCCGAAACAGTTGTTCGTATGAAACAAACGCCGTGTGATATGGGCCTTAGTGTATCGCGGTTAGTGCATTGTCGAGAGAGCGTGTTGAGCTCCGGGAACGACTGAACCGAAGAGTCGGGAGCCATACTCTTGTGTATCGTCGAGTGCATCGCGTGGAGAGTCTCGAGAGTACGTGGAGTTCCGAGAACGACCAATCAGAGTCGGGAGCTGTACTCTGGTGCTTTAAAGTGAAGCTGTCTCTACCGTTATTGCCTGATAGTGTGAAGGCTGTGTCGCTGAACGTGTCAGCTTGTTTATAACAGTTCGACGACTGTAAAAATGATTTTGGAGCTATCTGATTAATACTGGTAAATAAAAGTGTGTTTCGATACTTCATCAAGTGTCGTCGTTAGTTATTCCAAATTCACACGAATCCCGTACGAAAGTGAAGGGAGAAAATAACGTAACAACTGGTGTCAGAAAAAAAGGGCTAATCTTTGGAATATGGTAACAGGTAGTTTGGCTATATTTTGGTAAGGCGATAAAGGTTACTAGCTAGGACTTTAGCAGTGTACATGGATAAAGTCAAGAGTGTGCGCAATGCCATTTTTGTGCAATTCTGGGATTTTTTTTAAGTGAAAATTGGTCGACGTGTACATGGATACCGTGTATGTGCAATTCTTAAAAACGCGGCAAGCAGTGAGCGATTCTGCACTGTCTCCCAATTTCGCACCTAATCTTCGTCATGATTAAGCACTTTTGTTCCATAAAAGTTCTAGCATAAGCGTAATTCGGCTACCAGATTGTTGAAAAAAATGTTGAGTTAAAAAAAAAAAAAATGGCTTTACTTCGTGAAAACAAAATGGCGTCCAAAACAAAACTAGCATGTTGCTGTAGCAGGGTTGGCCGCCAAATGTTCGCCAAAAAATCGCCAAGTTACCATAATCCAAAAATTAACCAAAAAAAGAAAAACGCAAAAATATTTACAAAAACATTGTTGGACCTCATAAGTATTGCGAAAATCCGACACACGCATGAATGAAACTGTCAATTTTTTCACTTCTACTGTAATATAATATTGCAATTTTAGGTCATTAATTTTAATTTCTAATTTTAAATCATAGAATAATGTGAAAATTTTAAATAAGTAACAGACGAAATGACAGCGTCACGTGCAAAGCAAGTAAAATGAACGTTTATATTATAAAAAGAAAAGCGTCGAAACGTTTTCGTTTTTTTCTTTGTCTGTATTGTCTTATCTTTACCTACTTTCAGACACTTGTGTAAAAATATTTGGTAATTGTAAAATTATTATAATAAGCTAAAAATATATCAAAGCTGGTAAAATTTTTGGCGACCCCCTGCCGCAAGTCCAGCGAGTGTGATGACCTACAGTATAAGAAACCCAGCTTTACGTTAAGCTAATAACAAGGTACACGGCAATAAGAATAGCTTCCCTTAACAGCTGTGTTTATACACATTTATTCGAAGAACATTTAAGGCAGTCGTGGCCGAGTGGTTAAGGCGATGGACTCGAAATCCATTGGGGTTTCCCCGCGTAGGTTCGAATCCTACCGGCTGCGACCTAATTTTACACTTCATTATTCTTGGAGGTACTTTGTTCCGAGATATAACAAGCTTTCATTTAAAATTCATAAAATAATTAATGAGCTAAGAATTGAAAAATAATTTATTATATTGATTTAATGGGAAAAAGACATTATATAATTTTCTCTACAAAATTCATCTAAAATTTTATATCACGAATAATAAAAGCAGCGTTTTAAATATCGTTTCTTTTCATTGCTGGTGCTAATGACGTTAAACTAATCCATTCTTCTTCTGTATTATTCCCAAGTAGAAATCCGTAAAAAAACTGACTCATATATGTCTGTGACTTATTATCTATTTTTATTGATGAGTTACATTTTTAGCCGCTTACAAGACTATGGTTTTTGCCATGTTTGATTTGCCGTGGCAGAAGATAAGTTGTATTTCTCGCTGTTCAGTATTATTTAAATTCTCATTGAAAAGACGTTTTGAGCCTAAGCTTGAATTTTTATTTTCGCTTTGAGAATCTTTTTGGGTTTTGAAATATCGCAAAGAAAAATATTGAATACTTTGATTACTCTTCTTTCACATTACTGAAATATTTCTCACTATTTGTCAATGATGTTTCGTGCAAGATAGCTATAGCGATATTTATATTTAAACCGACTGTTAAAGCCATTAATTTTATACATTTATCAAAGGCGCCCCACTCTTTTATAACTCATGATATAGAATTGTAGATGAATTTTACAAAAACATATATATACATATATATAATCTCTTGTTCAAATAAAATCTACATGTCAAATTGTTTTTCTATTTTTAGTTCATTAATTATTTTATGAGTGTTAAATAAAAGCTTATTTTATAATAAGCCCAAATGGGCGCAGAAGGACTATTATCTTTAAATGTCCAAGTCACTTTTCAAATTGTTGCCACCAAATATTATCTGTTATCACCTTGTATTTTATTTAAAGAAACAAAATAATGTGGAATCAACATGAATGTAGGTATGTGTTTCATATTGTGTAAAACAAGTGTACATAGAGTCATCAAATTTTGAATAACGTAGCTTGGGCACTTAGAAGCCCGAATAAGGAATTTGTTTTACTATCTGTTTCATATTTTTACAATATTTAAATGAATTGAAATGTTTATGATGCAAGAGTAAATTAACAAAAAAAAAAAAAAAAAAAAATCTTAATTTTATTAAACTTGGTACAGGGACAAGAAAGCCAAAAGATTACAATTCCAAATACTTAGAATTGGCTTACCAAAGATAAAAGATGCTGAACACTGGTAGTTCTGTCAGGGGTTTATATTCTTGGCGAACGATCAGGCTGCATTGGGTGTTTGATTTTCTCATGTGTAGCGTGGATATGACACAGTTTCCCTTCAAATGTCCTCCAAGGAGAATCCTTCTCTTTCCATGTAGTGACTAATGTCGAAGCATGTAATAAAAAAAAAAAAATAAATAAAAAAAAAAAAAACTAAATATTTAGACTTTCAGTAATTGGAATTCAGCTGTATATCAAATGCTTTGAGAAGAACATTCTACTGCTGTATTCTTTAAAATATTCTGCGCAGAATTTATACGAACATTTTCGTTATAGTTTCAGGGTAAATTAAAAATTTGCATTTACAAAAAGTACGAGTAACGACTCGCTATCATTTGGCTCCCAAAGTAAATAAAACATCGACAACATGATTTATTTCATGTTATTACACTCAAGTTCGAAGAATAACATTTTCTAACCTCAATCGATCAACTATGACAAATGGTAAATCCCAGAGGTTACATAATGGAGACATAATGCGCCTGTATTCTTCAGATGATGGAGATAAAAACTGACATTACATCAAAACTGTTCGGTCTTGTGATTGATAAACATGAAATTTTGTTATTTCTGAGAGGTAGAATTCTTTAAATTGTTATCAAAACAACACCTACAGCTTATAATAGTCTATATAAGACGGTTGGCTAAGTATACTTTAAATCTACGTTTAAAGGAAAAATGTTTTGTCTCTTTTCATTATATACAGATTTCATGTATTACAGAGGCTGTTCGCACATTTGTAGACGATTTTGGTAAGTGGTAATAGAAAATCGTTTGCTGCAAAAGAAGTAAATGTTTTTAAAAGTCAAAATTATCGTCTGTGACTTCAAAGTTTTGTTTTTATTCAAAATGGCGAATTTAACAAAGCAGTGGTTCGAAGGCTACATTAACGCTCTTTCCAAAGAATATGCCCCGTATCCAAAACGATGTGAGAATCTGGTTTTGTGAATCTAAGCGTCTATAGGTATATCATCAAAGAAGAAAAATAACGTCAATTGGAGCCAAAATGTCGATTAATCCAAATCTATCAGCGACCTATTTTATCGCCAGTTTTCTGAATGAAATACCATCGCTTTACCCATAGTGCCATCCTCTGTGAGACTCCATCGGACAAAGCTGCAGTCACACATCAAAATCCACTGTAAATTTCCTAAAAAATGGAACAAAAAACTAGTATCAAGGCCATCCCTTCACTGATATCCCCCAATCTCCCGTGTGTCCCTATGATTTTTTGGATTTTTTGTGCTTTCCCACTTTAAAAACTGCTTATCCAAAACGTGTCCCCAAACCCTAACGGACCTGGAAAGCTGTCGGGAGGAATGAGATAGAATACCTCTTTTGCCACTCAAAGGCGTATTATCCTGGAAATTACGTTTTCGAAAGTATTCAGAATAAGGGATGTCAAATAGAACATTTAAAACACAAGAATTTTATGTAATTTAGTTTTGTGAATACAATATACATCGTCTAAAAAATGTGTGAACAGCCTCTGTATTTACTTTTGTGAGTTAAACATTATTGGGGTGCTTTTGAGAGATGTGAAATTTATGTATAGTTCAATATGCTTTACTACTTTCTTCGGTATACTGGCTTACCCAGTAGAAGATATTTTCCCCTTCTCTTACCAGCACTTTGAGATTCCCGATTAGGGCCTGACTGTTGTGAAATCCGCAATTAAATATGTCCTCTAGGCCAGGGGCTCTCAACCGGTGGTACGCAAAAGAAGCAAAGTAGTTTTAACTATTAAATTCAAAAATTAAAACCCCAGCATCCTGATTGAGGTTTTTCTCTAACACTCGTAAATTTATGCGATCTGAGCTTTGCTCAAGAGTGGTGGTGGTGGTAGTAGTACTTTGTTGTGGTGGTACTAAAGGTTTTCAGTTTTTGTTTAGATGAGTTTTGTTAGATGGTAGAAGGTTGAGATCCGCTGCTTTAGACGAAGTGAATTTGTGGAGAAGAAGTGTGGAACACTTTGGCTTCTGAACGCTGGGAGCTGGCCAGGTGGGTTTCTTTGTAGAATCCCTAGATTTGGGAATTATTTGCGAACGATACAGAACGTCCACTCAAAATGCTCAGGACCATGAGCATTTTGAGTGGACGTTCTGTATCGTTCGCAAATTATCTTTGGTAAGCCAATTCTAAATATTTGGAGTTGTAATTGACCATTACGTTCCATATGGCGGAGACGAGAGAGTCGTAATTCTGAACAAACACAATTTTCAACAGAAAATTCTCAGCGCACAGATGTATTGTGTTGCCAATGGTTACCGTGTCACATGGGTTTGAGTGAAGCAAATGAGCAGTACAAGGTCTAATAAGTGTATCCGCCTCCAGATTCTCATAGGCCAGGATGTCAGTGAAGTTTGGCGAGTTGTTTCTTACTGATCTGTTGAAGTAATTTTCTTTTAACCTGGTGAGGAATTTTTTGATGGATTCCAAATTCAGAACAGAATGCAGGCTTTTATTTGGAATGAAATACGGAGCGTTTGTTATGGTCCTTAGACCGCCTTGTTTTGGAGAACCAGAAGTTTTTTAATGTCCTTTTCGCTGGCTTTTGAGGTTGCTCATACGTGAATTGAAATTGTTTATATGTCGACCATGAAACCGTCGCCAAGTAGCGCGATTTAGCACCAGTTATGGGAATGTGTGGCATTGCAGTACGCCCATCTGCGCCTTCTTTTGATGTAACCTCGACTGATTCTCGATCAGCCACGTTTTACTTTTTTTTTTCATGCACAAAGATATAAATTTACTGCTATTGCTGTGTATATTTCTTGTATTTTGAAAAAGTAACTATTAAAAATTTGGATCTGCTTTCTACAGAACAGTAAGAAGTTGATTATTTTCAAAGATATGGGATCCTACCATCAAAAATACGTGTATTGATGAACACTATAGGGTGAATTGAATATGGCTGACAAAACAGCAATAAACTGGAGAATTACCTAAAGGAAGTTAATACCACAGTGTTCTGAGCAGAGCTTTCAGTAAAATAGGAAGGCGTTACAAAATAGTCTAAATCCATCAGCAAGTTCTACATTCAAGCACTCCAAATGTCACCAGATGACGTTATGAAAGAGACCAAACAAGAATCTGAACGCGATGCATATTCACCTGAAAGATGCACATCTTCGCTCAGTTTTTTCGCAATATCTCAGATAAGTAACAAAATGGACTGGGATGTGGTTTCTCATGCATCATACTAAAGGCATTTGCTATCCGCTGCCTTCTGTGTATGCGGTGCAGTGACGCGCGATGCACGGGGGACAAGTATTTATTGCAATAAAAGAAGTAGAAACAAGTTTATAACTAAGAACTAACTTTTTCGAAGAGACTGTAGACCCCCTCTTTGGTAACATAAGCCGAGTGAGAATTTTGGAAGATTTGAGTGACTTCTCGCTGTGTCTTGGGAATTACAACAGAGACTTGAAAGACTGGCGCACCTTCGACAGGATCTTCGCGGTTTAATGGTAGCCAACTTTCACTGTCGACGGGTAAGTACCAAATTAGTTTACGATACTGACACTTATTTTAATTTAATAAGTAGTTTGTAATCGTGTACTGATTGTCATAATGGTGCATATGTATTTATCATGAATTATTCATTATATTATTTTGGAAATCCCGTCTTTGCTTTACCTCGCTTCTTGAGAACATCAATGCACATGACGGCCTCGATGCTAAAATGGTTGAAAAACCTACCATAGACAATTCATGCGTATGGGTTATGGTAGAATATTAGCGGTTGTTTTATCCAAGATGAATATCGGAACTCGATACAACATAAATGCGAGGACACTATGATTCACGCGGCAGGCTCCAGCCTAAGCTGGCCTATCATGGATCATGCCATCAATTCATGCCAGCAGCAAAGTCACTTTGCTGCTGGCATGAACTACTTTGAGGTTTTTTTCTGTAAATCAATATGCGCCCTGAGGCCTTCCACGGTAGCTGTAAAAATAAAGATGCTAACAGTTATGAATGTAAATTTGAATTAAGTAAGCATTTGTAAACTATATTCCTGTTTACCATTAACAACAATGTGCATTGTGATGAATAGATCTTGGGTGTTTTACAACATATTCGGCGAGTTTTTTGCTTTTTCGAAAACGTTATGAGCAGTAATTAACATTTGGTCATGGATAGGATTTATTTTTAATTCCTCGTTGATAAATGTTACGCACAAACCACGGCGCGTTCACTATTTAATCTTAGAATTTTGTTCTGCAAAATATTTATTTTTACTCTTTCCGTTTTATTTGCGCTGGCCCAAACCGGAACTGCATATAACAACATAGGGCGAATGAGGGATAACTAGAATATTCTTTTTATATGAATATTCAGTTTTCACTTTCTTCCGATTAAACAATAAATAGCCATATAAGCAGAAATGGCATGGTTTAATACAAAATGGATATGATCTTTGAAGATAAGTATTTGGTCAAGGGTAACTCCTAAATATTTGTACGAACTACAAGAGGGACAATTTCACATTTATTGTGATGTCGGCGTTCACTCTCATTTGTGGTCCTGTAACGTCTATAGAAACCACATTTATAGGTGTTGCGACTAATTTTCCACGGGTTACACCATCTGAAACGATACTGATATGCAGTTGAAGATTATTTATAGGGATTTAAGGACTTCGATAAAAAATGACCATATCATCTGGTCGTTCTAAAATGCACACAATTTTGTGCGTTATAGGACACCACAACGGACAATCTTTGGAATATGGTAACAGGTAGTTTGGCGACATTTTGGGAAGGCGATAAAGGTTACTAGCTAGGCTTAGCAGTGTACATTGATAAAGTCAAGAGGGTGCGCAATGCTATTTTTTGGGAATTCTGGGATGTTTTTTTAAGTGAAAATTGGTCGACGTGTACATGGATACCGTGTATGTGCAATTCTTAAAAACGCGGCAAGCAGTGGGAGATTCTGCACTGTCTCCCAATTTCGCACCTAATCTTCGTCATGATTAAGTTTGTTCCATAAAGTTCTAGCATAAGCGTATTCGGGTAGCAGAATGTTGGAAAAAAAATGTTGATAAAAAAAAAAAAAAAAAAAAAAAAAAAATTGCCTTTATTTTCGTCCAAAACAAAACTAGCAGGTTGCTGTAGCAGGGTTGGTCGCCAAATTTTCGCCAAGTTACCATAATCCAAAGATTAATCCGTATTTGTTTCTGATAGCTTCAGAATAGAACTGCAGTTCTTATACTTTCAGAAATCAGACATGGCACAAAAAATACCCTGTGGTCATGTGAATCACGCCCGTTGCTGAACATTGTTGATTGGAATGTAAGTGTATTGTATCAATGATATGATGTACTAGTTACATT